AGAGTACTGGGGTCACATGACCCCAGCAAGGTAGTTGTCTAGCCAGAGTTGAGAAACACAAGACTAGATGACCTCCTGAGGTCCCTTCCAACCCTCATTTTTTATGAGTTTATGATAAAGGGATGCTTGAATGTGCAATATAGCCGAGGGTGGGTGCGTGCTAGAGAAGGCTTGTGAACTCATCTTAACCTAAACTGTGTTGCAGCTGTGCCTTCTGCGTAAGCTCACACACTTGGTTTCTGCCTTTGTTTGTAGTCCCCGTTGAACACTTGGTGAGACCATTCTGACTGGCAAAGTTAAGCACCTGCATAAGTGTCTGCAAGACTGGGGGCCCTGTGAAGACAAGGGAATTGCAAGTTTATTTCACTCTAGCAGTTAAGTAAAGAAATCCAATGAAGGCAAGTTTCAATCACACAAGGGTTTAATGTCATCTAAATAGGAAGTCACACTTCTACTTGCTTCAAATTCATTTTATCGGGTATTCTCAAAAGGGCAAGCCCTAGGACTGCTTTGTAGCAGATCTAAGCTAAAGATGAAATAATTCTTTTTTGTGGGAATTGGCACTGGAATAAATCTGTCACTGTTTTAAAATGGCACCTGTAGTTAACCTGATGCAGTTTCCTTGTACGGAGCAGGCCTTATAGGTTCAAATTTCAGTTTATTATTATTATTATTATTATTATTATGGATTCTGGCTATAGGGGCAAATTAATTAAATGCACGTAAGGCAGGAATAAAATTGTTAATGTGCAGAGTTGTATCAATTCTGTGAAAATTTAAAATTAGACCTGTCGCTAAACTCGGTGTGTAGACAAAGGTTCTTCAGTAACCCATGAGTCCCCAATAAATATCTTGCGATAAAGCCAGGAACCTTCTGCGTTGGATCTATCTCCTGTGATGCTTATGGGCAACTCTAAACTATATCCACGTAAACCATGGGAGATGTGGCTATTTGATGCACAAATGGAAAATTTAAAACTACCCAGTATCTGACCACAGTCGCCCAGAACAGACCATGGAACATATAACGACTCAATGCCCGATCCACAAATACGAAGGAGGTATCACAGCGATATACTGCTGCTCCAGACACAATTGTCTGGCTCAGCCACCTAACTGTAAAATTATAGTTGCTCTTCTGTATCTACATCAGCCATACAAAATAAAAACAGCTTTCCAACCCACAGCAGGACCTGAGTTTCTAACTTTTCCTTACTTCCTTAGATCTCGTGGAAGCAAAAAAAAGGAAGGGGGGGGACGGTGGAGAGGGGAAGAAGCCTGGTTTTATTTTTTCCCCCCACATTTTTCACAACAGGAAATGGGGATTAGAAAAAATAAAATACCTCTTTCTGTTTCCTTTAAGATGTACTGGTTGCATTTTAAATTATAACTATGAAGCAATTAAGATTTGTTGTTGTTTCCATACGTTTTTACTGCAGCTGAAAAAGCAGCAGATGAAGTCGGTAACAGCAAAAATGCCACCCATCTGTTCTTCTTTCCCTAACTAGACTTGGGCACTTAGACCAAATTAATGCAGTGTCAGGCTCTCAGGCTCCCCACGTGCTGAAACCAATGACTGTTTTCAGATGCAGAGAATATTATAGGCTTCTAATTCAAGTCCTGTTTCAGCTTGATCCAGTGAGGGGCTAATGCCAAGCAATACAGCAGCTGGGCCTTGGAAGGAAGCAGCTGTTCCCATTGAAGTCCCACTAATACGGCTAGCAAAAAGAAAAAGGGATGAATTGTTTTGAACCAGACAAAATGAAGCATCAAGTTTTAATTTTTCCCCCTCCTACCTCCACAGTTCTGCTTGGCCCTGTCTCTTGAGCTGTAGATTGTACAATGATCATGAGTCACTCTGTAATATTTGATCTGCTGGTGTATCATCACATTATTCATTTTGGTAAATGTGTGCCTGCGAGAGGGAAGTTTTTCAACCCCTCCTTGCCTTCCAGACTTGTCCTTGGTGTCTTGCATTCAGTCTTCCAGCTTCCTCTGTTACCATGCGGACATCCTGCAGCGGTTGTATGCCTTAATGAGAAATTGAGGCCCAGCAATCTCAATCCCCTGCATACACATAGTCCTGTTGAGAATACAGAAGAAAATAGAGCCTTTGAAATCTGGTGGCTCATAGGAAGGGGGGTGCTGCAGGTGGTGGAGGAATAGGAAATCAGGAATGTCTGGCCAGCTGGCCAGTCAGTTATAATACTTAAACCAAATTAAATCCTGATTTCAGTATAATTAATCCAGACTTCACAGTATCACCACAGAAAATAGACCATTAGTAAAAACTAATTCTTAAATCACCCTCAGTGAAAACACTACTACTAGTGACTAATAGCAACAGCAATAAACACTGAAGCTTTCTTTCTTACATTTGCTGCCTATGTACATATATGCACGGTTGCCATAAATACTGGACATCTTCCAGTTAAAAGTCAAAACAGTTATGAAAGAAACTCTCCGTTTCTTGTTGCATACGTGGGAGTAAAAACGTTCTTGGATAATTTTTAAATTGGTAAAGTCAATTATGCATACAATTTGTGGTGAGCAAACGATCTTGATGTTTTTGCTGTTATAGGCATTAGCAAAAGTCTGATGTTTCTGGCCTAGCTGCAGTACAAATACAGCTAGCAATTGTTAGGACTCAGTTGCAATGCTTTGCCAGGCCATAGCATGGGGAGATGTTCACTGTGTTCTTCATCCATTGGTTCTGTCTAGTATGAACTGGAACAGCATTATGTTTTAGTTCCTTACACAATTGCATTTACAGTCTAGACAGGCCCTTGTTAGGTTTCAACAGTACCATTCCACTAAAATCACAGAAGGCAGGGTAGAGGTGCACTTGATAGTCCAACCGAATCAGAGAGATGTACGCTTTCCTGAGCCAAAGTTCACTTTATCAGATGCTAGCAGTTATAACAGATTAAGACATTTTCCTTTAGGATACTTTAAAAAAGTGGAAGGATGCAGCTAAATATGTTACTGATGTACCCACTGCATCAGATCTACACAACACAACTTAGTTCCTGAGCTCACTGATGGCCCATAAACACAAGAAAAAAGAAAGAAAGAAAGACCAAGAAAAAGCAAGCTTGCATATGCAACCCCAAGCCCCAAATCTCCTCATCTAAATTGTATAAAACACTGCATTGTTCTCCCAGATGTCTTTGTGCAAAGAGAATTATCAAAAGTAATGTGTTGGAAAATCAATATCGAATAAATCAAAAGTAAAATAATTTCCTCCAGATGTACAGCTAAAAATTAAAAACAGAAATCAGTACTTCCAAAGAGGCCTGCACAAACACCAGCCCTCTGGATATTTGTCATTTGATAGGTATGTCTAAAAATTCAGTCCCTTTCCATCACGAAACTCAGGCTGGAATGGAACAGAACAAAACACGGCAATAATTTTAGTACGGTCTCTGTTAACTTATTGCATTTTATGACACAGAGGTTTCTTTTAGTAGCATCTAGATGGACTCTAACCATGCCCTTTGTTCCAGTTTGCAGTATAAGGGCAGGATAATCACACAGTTCATAAGAGGACCTTGCACAAAAAGGACTTGCCCAAGAATTTTCTGAAGGTCTTTTTTCTTCCTTATCTTGACAGAAATCCAAACTGAAAAAAAAGAATCCTTAATACGAACCCACTTCAGCTGAAGTTTCATTTTAAAAGAAGTCTGTTTATTAAACCACATCCCTGATATTGTGACCCATTTGTTTCAGCTGCTTTGAGTTGAGATTTCCAAAACACAATGACTTCTACCCTTTTGCGCCTGCCTGATGCTGTCACATGAAAGGAGCAGCCAGTTAGTGAGTGATGAGTTGATGAAATCAACTCCGTGTCAGGAGGGGCAATGGTGACACACTCAGGACCTGCCCTCCGAGGTAAATGAGGATATGAGAGGCAGCGGCAAGGGCGTGGTGGAAGGATATGCCTATGCTGCAGTTGCGCCCGTGACCTTAGGCTACTTGTACACACCACGAGGGGTTAATTTGGTTTAGTTCTCCCTAAGTTGAACTGTTTCCACTGTTTCAATTTAGGGAGAATTAAACTGAACTAACCCCCGTGGCGTGTACACAAGGGTGGGGCCCGAGCTGTACCTGCCTCTCCAGCAATAAGAGCGGGGGCGAGCTGTTGGTGGCCTGACAGTCCCTGAGCTGCATGGGGGCCCGATGCTTCCCTCCACGGTGGCGGTGCCCCTGGCAGCACCCACTTGCTGGCACCCATGGGGTGCCGCCACTGCTGAGGGAAGCACCTGGCCCCTGCATGGCTCAGGCAGGCTCTGGGAGAAAAAAAAAAAGATCAGCTTCCTTGTCACTTTTTTTTTTGTCTTCAGTTAAGTCCACCTGCCTGCACAGGCTGCTGTCATGTTGCACAGCAGCAGGAGAAAGTGGTGGGGATGGTGCACGGGGAACTGGATGCCCACCAAGCCCTGAGCACGTTGGCTTCCAGCATCCCACGCACTGCTGCACTTTGTTAGGCAGCAGACTAACGCACCTCGGAAGTGTTTTATCTGGCTGGGCTCCAAAGCCATTTAAAGCGGATTACGCTGCTGAGCGTGCAAACAGCAACGCCATTAAAGCGGACTACGCTGCTGAGCGTGCAAACAGCAATGCCATTAAAGGGAGTGTAGAAGCAGCGAGCCATTAGAGTGGACTATACTGTCGAGTGTGCAAACAGCAATGCCATTAGAGCCGTACAAAAGGGCATTTAAGCCGCCTTAAAGGCCAATGTTGTAGGGTGTACAAAGGCTCTGGGTGAGGTGTGAATACCCAGGCTCCCAGGACCAGGGTGAAGCTCAGCCTGTCCCGATTTACTCTGCTCGGGGGCGAGCTGCAGCTGTTGCTGGGGTCTGCAGCTCTGCTTAGGTTGCGGCCGGTCCCTGAGCTAGCGATGCTAAACCAAGCCCCATATTTTCTTGCATATCACATGCCCCTGAATATAACACGCAGACTTGTAGGTCCGACTCGGTGCGCCGCCTGCCAGACCCGCGCACTGCACCGCACCCTGCGTCCTGGCTGCACACGGCAGCTCTTTCCCGCCCCGGGGCTGCCCGGCGCGCTCTGCCCTCACCCAAGATGGCGGCCGCGGCGTCACCGCTGGGCCCGGCGCGGGGGCCGCGTGCGCATGCGCAGCGCGACAGCTTGTGACGCCGCCGCTGCCCG